AATCTCACCGGCTCAGGGTTGACTCAGCGTTCCATCCTTCCGAGGTGGATAAAATGAGGACCCAGACTGTGGGGGGGAGATATGCTGACTCTGTAAACCGCTTAGAGAGGGCTGGAAAGCACTGTAAAGCGGCATATAAGTCTAATTGCTATTGCTATTGCTATTGATGACCGCTGGCCTTTGGACCGTAGCCATTTTCTTTGGTGGTTCGTGTCCTGCAAGCCCCCTGGGGAAGCCGCAGCGTTCCTCCGGGTTGAAATGCTGACAGACTAACCCTGGTTAATCCTTGTTTTGGAGCTTGGCTGGATATTGCTTGGTCTGTAGTTGCCCACGGCTCTCCTTGGCCCCTCCTCTTTTGAAGGGGCAGCCTCCCCCCACCCCCAAATCCTCCCTGGGGTCTCCCAAAGGGGCTCCAAGGTGGCACTGGGAACTCCTTCCGATGGGAAGGGCCGGATCCTGGACAGTCCAAGGGGCCAAGGGCTCCCCCCCCCCATCTCCCCCCCTGCCCTCCTCGTTGGCCCTCTGGAACCCAGCTGCTTTTGGGGAGGGGAGCAGGAGGACTGGGGGGGGGCGTGTGGGCATCTTGCCATTTTCTCTGAGCAATGGGGCAAACCAGTCCATTGTTGTTGTTGTTGTTGTTGTTGTTGAAATGGAGAAAAAAGCCCCTTCAGTTGGTTTTTCTCCCTCTGGTTTCTACGCTTATTATGTCCATTGTCCCCTTGCGTGAATGAAGGAGGGGAGGTTTACAGCCTTGGGAGGGGCCTTTCCTTCACCTGGGACCCAGGAGGGAGCAGCCCTCCCCTTCTGCCCTTCTCAGGCAGGAGCCTTTGATCTCGGCCTCTGCCCCTCCCAAGACCCCCTCCCCCCCACACACACACTTCCTCTTACCCAGGACGGGGGGGGGGGGGGCAGGATCCTCCATCCACGGGTGTCCCGGTGGGAAGGGGGTGTCAGAAGCTTTTCTGGGGTTCCAGAGTCTCTTCTGGACCACTGAAGGGGGGGGCATTCCTGCCCCCGTTCCTCCCTTTCCCTCCTTTTTGATATTATAATTTTTATGCCCCCCCCCTCACCTCCCCTGCGAGACGACTCTGGCCGGATTTTGACTTGTTATAGAAGAAGTCAAAAAATAAAGTAAATTCTGAAACCGTTTAGGAGGGACCCAGATCAAAATATGATGAAAAACTGCTTTTTTTCAGGGTTCCGCTTAAAAACTTTGTTGTTTACGTTAAGCTTAAACACTTTTTTTAACTTAAACAAAACGTAAAAACTTTTTTAAACCCGAAGTTTAAGATTTAAGCTAAGCTAACCTCACCTGAAGTTTAATCTTAACTTTTTTTCATTTAACTTAACTAACTTAACCCAACTCAATTTAAGTCAACTCAACTCTCAACTCAACAACGTAACTTCTAAAAAAGGAGGTTTTTTAGGGTTTGTTTAAAAAAAAACTGTGGGAGTAACTGCCTCTTCGTTTCCACCCCCCCCCCTTCCTCACCAGGCAGCGCCTCCATTGCTGGTTTCTGCCGCCCTCTGGTGGCCACAGCACCACTCTGCACGCTGGTCTTTCCGTCGAGGGGAGGGCTCTGAGAAGCCTTCTAAACAGCCCCTTTCCTCGCTTTGGGAGGGGGCTCGTTTGGGGAAGGAAGCCTCTCTGGGACCCCTCTCCAGGATGATGGACCCGTTTGGTGGCTCTCTTGGGATCCCCCCAGCGCTTTCAACCTGGAAACCCTATTTTGAATTCGGGGGGGAGGGTGGCCCCTGGGTACAGAGGGGTGCTTCTCTGTGGCCCCTTTGTTGGCTGGGATGCCCGAGGCTCGCCCCTCCTCCCCCCTCCCCACCCAATGGGGCTGCCCCTTGGGGAACTGGCACCCAATCAAGGCGGATGCTCTGTCATGGAGGTGGCTGTGGGTGCCTCAAAAAGAGGACCACCCCAAGGGGTAGAAGGGATTTGGGCTAGCAAGGTGAGGCTGTTTTGGGGGGAACATGCCCCCATCTGGCCTGCTTCGCAGCCAGTCCTGGGGATGGGGCGCAGGGCTGAAGCGACCCCCCCCCAACGGTCCTTCTTCCCCCTTTGAGACTGTATACAAATATACATTTAAAGGACGGTGTATGTGCAACCATTAAAAGGAAAATAAATTGAGTGGGAAGAGGGAATTTAAGTTTCTGATGTAAATACAGAACCGTGTTTACTCAAAGGCCGTCCCTAAAATGCACCAGATTGAAGAGGAAAAATGTGAACACAACAATGGAAAGAGGGAGGAGTAGAGGGAAAGGGAGGCAGGGGAGAGGAGGAAAAGAGAGGGGAAGAAGAAAAGGGAAAGGAGAGGAGGAAAGAAGAAGGGAGGGAAGGAGAAAGGGGGAGGGAAGAAGAAGTAGGGTTGTTGTAAAACAAGCTGGGATGGGATGGCAGGAAAGCGATCTGGATTATATCTTTAATCCCAGGAGGAGAAATGAATGGTTATAAATGTCAAAAGATCACATGTAGTATTAATAATAATTAGGAGATTGTATGCATGAGAAATAGTCTTACCCACCTCGGCCGGTCCTTTGCCCCAAGCCCCCGTCCTGGCCCCGGCACCCAGCCCCCCAAGCCCCTTCTGTGAAGGGCCACAGAAGCCCCCTGTCCACACACACCCCAATTGGGGGCAGGAATCCAGATTGAAGCAGCTGGCTTCTCCCCCAGGAGGGCAGCCAATTCCAACTGCCGGGAGGTCTGGGTTGGGGTCTCTTTGAGATGGGTGGGGGTCCCTTTGCAGGGCCCTAGAGGTTATCTGTCATCCTAATCATCCAAGTGGAGGTGAGATTCTTGGCTGCTCCTCTCTGAGCTGGCTGGTTTTCTTGCCAACCTTTGATGACCCAACTAAGGAGCATCACCAGTGACGAGTGAGGGTGGGGTTTGCTCCCCATTTACATACATTGTCCCACCAGTGTTGGGGGGGGGTGTTTCCTACTTCTAACGGCTTGGGTAGCCGAGGGCTGATCTCCATGTGGTCCACCTTCCAAGATAGCCCCCTCCCCCCAAAGACCTTTGTGTTTTGAGGAGGGGCTACTCCAGACTCCACCAAGGCAGGCTTGATGAGGGAGTAGAGATGAAGGGGGCTGGACTAGAAGACCTCCAAGGTCCCTTCCAGCTCTATTCTACTCTGATTCTGAAGGGGGAAAGTGGAAGCCCCCTCCTCTTTGACCAAGGACAATCTCTGCCCCCCATTTTTGTGGGTTTTCAGCCTTAATAAATAGTGTTGACCCTCCCCAGGTGGGCGACAAGAGCCAAATTGAGCCATAGCAGCCAATCCTCGACTTACGACCAAATTGCCAATGTCTTGCTAAGCAAGACATTCGCTGAGTGAGTTTTGCCCGTTTGACCACCTCGCTTGCCACTCTTGCGAAGCAAATCCCCCACGGCTGCGAGGGGGAACAGACGGCCGCTAAGTGAATCTGGATCGTCACAAGGTCTCAAAAGAGGGTGATGTGACCTCAGGGACATAAATAGGAGCCCATTGCCCGAGCGGCTGGATTAGTAACGGGAGGTTATTAAGTGAATCTGGCTTTCTCCTTGTCTGATGCTGTGACCGTCATAAATACGGGTCAACTGCGGAATAGCCAAATTTGGATCACGTGACCCGGGAGAAGGCTGCAGAGAAACCATCCGGTGTGGCTTTTGTCGGTTACTAAACAAAGTGTTGTAAGTCGAGGATCAGCCCTGCTCTTCCTCCACCCTCCCTCCGCCACCACCCGGGACGAAAGGGAAAAAGCGGTGGGGGGGAAGCTCAGGGAGAGGGGCGCAATCCGTCCCCGGGAACACCCCCCGTCCCCCGCGCATCTTCCCGGCGCAACTCCGGATCGCGAGGCGGGATCCGCGCCGGGCTTTGCAGATTGCCGTGGCCGCTCCCGCAGGGCCAAGTCGGGGCATGTCGGCGGGGCGGGAGATGCCGAGGCGGGCAGGCCGGGGGGAGCCTCGCCGCGCTCCCGTCGGCGGAGCATGGCGGAGGGCTGGCGCCGGGGGGGACCCCTGTCCCGGGTCGCCCCGCCGGCCGCTCCCCGCCGGGCGGTCAGCGTCTGTGACTCCCTGGACTTGCAGGAGGTCCCGGCCGTCCAGGCGGCCCTGAAAGCGGCGGAGAAGCAGAAGCGGCGGCCCAAGAGCTTCTGCGCTCTGGGCAACGGGCTCAGCCCCGCCGGAGCCCCGTCTTCTTCTCCCGCGGAGACCCCGGGCCGGTCCCGCTTCGGCTGGTTGGAGCTGCTCCGCTTGCGCTCGCCTCGCCGGCCCGACGGAGCGGACTCGGAGGCGGGGAAAGGCCCGGCGGCTTCCCCGGGCGGCGAAGAGGGAGGCTTCCTGCGGGGGGGCTCGCTGTGGGGCAGCCGGCGGCGGTGGAAGCTCTTCGACGGGACAGCCCCGCGGCGGCTGAGCAACTTGCGGAAAAGTTTCAGCTTCCGTCTGCGCCGCGGGGAAAGCGGACTCCAGCGGGCCGGCTCCGGGTTCTTGCGGCCCGCCCGGCTCCGGAGCCGCAGCGAGGGCGACGCCGCTTCCTTGTACCCCTGTCCCAGCAAGAGGGACCTGCTCGGCTCGGAAAGAGGAGGAGGAGGAGGAGGAGGGTTCTGGAAACAGCTGGGCAGCCGCCTCCGACGCCGGGAGCGCTTAGCCGGCCGGCCCTTGGCCGCGGTCCTGGAGGCCCGCGGGGGGCCGGCTCTGCTTTGGAGCCGAAGGGGAGGCGAACCCATCTTGGTGGCGCATCGACGGCCGGGTAAGAAGCTGGAGGGGGGGGGGCGCTTAGGGACGGCCAGGGGGGAGAGTCTACATCAGGCCACCTTGAGGAACAGAGGGGGGAGGGGAGCCCCTCCTTCACCCCAGCCCATGGGATCCCTGGGGGTCTCCTGAAGCCCCACCAAGGAGTCTCTTTCGGCGAGCCGGTTCTTGCTTGGTGAAGGTTTCTGCGCCCTGGCAGGCCCTGGTGGGATGCCAAGCAGTGGGAAGCTGTGTGTGTGTGTGTGTGCCAAAGCGGAAGTCTCAGCTGGGAAGTGTTATGTGGGTGAGGATTAGAGAGGGAGGGGTTGGCCTGTTCTCCCTCTCGCCCCCCCCCCCCCGTCCTTTGGGGGTGAAGGTGGGGGGGATGTCCACTGCTGGAGCTGGGTCACAGGGCAGGGGAAATCAGCGTGGAGGGGTTTAACCCTTCTGGTCCGTGTCACCCCCTTTCTGGAGCCCAGCATTTTGGGGGCACACCCTGAATGCCAGGCAGGCAGTGTGGGGGGGGGAGGATGGCACAGGAGGCAGAGTGCCAGAGGGCGGGCCCAGGAAGTAACGGAGGGGGGGGGAGGACGGGCCCAGGCAGCTCTCTTGCCTCTGCCAAGGGGGTGATGCCATTTATAGGGTTGGCAGTTTTTCGGGGGCAGGTCTCAGCAGGAAAGGGGAGGGCCCCCCCCAACGGCAGTGCCTCCTCTGCCAGCTGATGTGCCACTGGCTGGATTGATCCTGCTGTTGCACAGCTGGTTGATGCTCACTGCCTGCCCCCCCCCCAGGGCCCCCCATCAGCTTCCCAACAAGGGGGCTCCCCTTGCCCCACTGTCTCTCCAGCCGGAGGGGGAGAATGACCCCAGGGGGTCTCAGCTACCAAGGCAGGCAGAGGGGGGGCGCTGGAGGGGGGAACAGCCTGGAGGGGCCTGCCTGGGAAGGGCCGGGGCGTGGCAGAACAGAGCCTGGAGGGGGCAGGGAAGGGGGGGGCAGAGATTGACCTGGCAGAGAAGCTTCTGGAGAAGGTGTCCCTCCGCAGCCGTTGGGAAGGGGGATGGTGCTGGATACCGAGGGGCTTGTGGGTGGGCTGCAGCCCTGCAGAGGGCCCCCTCCCCCACTGGGCTGCTCCCAGGAGTATGGTGCCCTCCCCCACTGGTCGTACAGAGGGACAATGGGGAACGTGACCCCCCCTTCTGCTTGGGGGGGCTGTGGGGGGAGGCCCTGCCGCTTCGACAGGAAGAGACCTGTGGAACCAGTTTGGGTGTCACCCAGCTGGGAGCTGCTGTGCAGGCAGACTGGGAGGGGGAGGGGGGCTGAGAGGGCGGGGCCTCAGGGAGACCCCCTCCCATCCTGCTCCAGGATCCAGAGCTCAGTGGGGCATATCTTGCAGCGGAGAGCAACACCCACCCACCCCAGCTGTGGAAACTCTTTGATTGCATTGGCCCCGCCTACCTCGCAGGGTGGTTGTTGAGAGAAACGGGGAGGGAGGGAGGGAGCCCTGCGCACGGCCTCCGCTCTGCTGATCGACTGTATCGCTGGAGAGACGCCTGCACTCTGGCCTTTGCTCCAGGAACAGACTGACAGGGTCTTCCTCATTTGGGGGCTGGGGGCACGCAGACCCCTCCCCTCCTGTGGCCTTTCTTAGGGACGCCCTCCTGTTCTCGCGTCACACTGTGCGCTTTCTTCAAGAGTCTGGGGTCTCTCCCTCTCGTGGGGCAGAGGGGAGGGGTGGGGTTTGGACGTCGCATTTTGGGTTTCCTCCCATGAGGGCTACTGTGGGTGGGTGGGCGCCCATCTCCCACTCTGCATGCTTCCTGGCCAGAGCGGAAGGCGGAGGGTGGACTAGATGACCTTCGCAGACCCTTCTTAAGAGGGGGGGCGCAGCCCTCACTTCGAAGGTGGCTTGTGGAAGTGGCAGAGCCTTTGCAGCGGGGGATCCCGGGTGGGCAAGGGGAGGGGGCAAACGGCTGCGCGGCCAGCTCAGAGGACTGGGAGGGGGCACTCTTTGGGGGGGGGGCTGCGAGAGCCTCTGCATGAGGAGGAATCCAAGCCAGAGGCGACAAAGGGAGGATTCACACTCGTGTTCTGGCAAGTGGGTCGCTTGTGGTCCAACCCCTCCCCCTTCCGGCTCCATTTAGTGACAGGAGGGGCCGGACAGGACAGAGTTGTGTGAGCCTCCTCCATCCCCCCCCCCCCCCCCCGAGACCCTTGCGGACAGGAAAAGTGAGGCTCCTTCCGCACTGAGGGGACCCCCGAGCTTCCTACCCTCCCCCAAGTGCTTCTTACTTCCTGCTAAAGGAGGCTCCTGCCTGCCCCCCCCCCAAGCACCCTCCTCCTCCTCCTCCTCCATAAAGGGGGAGGGAAGAGGTGCCCCCAAGCTTTTAGGGGGCCTTTGCAAGCCACTGAGGGGAAGGAATTTGGGAGAAGAGGGGGGTCTCCTGGCCCCAAGTCTGCGTTGGGATGAGGGTTGCCCTGTGGTTGCTGAAGATGTCCCCCCCCATCCCTTAAAGACCCCTGCCAGCCCCCTCCTCCTTGCCCAGCAAGCAAGAGACCCCCTATGGCTGAATGGCCCCCCTCCCCATGTCCTCTGCCTGCCCAGTGCCCCAAAGACCCCACTCCTTTTCCTTCCCCAGCCAACCCAGGCTGGGCTGGGAGCCTTTGCCCCTCCCCCATCTAAATGTCTAGTGCCCCCTGGCATGGGAGGGGGGAATGTGGCAGGCTGAGGAAGGGGCTCTGGTCTTCCGTGGGGGTGGGGAAATGGTGCCCACCGTGGTCCCTGGGGCAGCAGAAGAGCTGGGGGGGGGGCAAGGAAGGGTCTTGGGATGAACCCTGGAAGGCGTCTCGGCCTTTGGGATGCAGGGCTGGGGGGGGGCTCTTGGGAGCCAGCTCGGGCGCCGGAGGGGGGGAGAGCAACCCCTCTCCTCCTGCCCTCTGGTGGGCCGGGGGGGGGGGTCTGACCTTCCTTCTCTCTCTCTCTCACCCCCCCTGCAGACTCCTTTGTGAACAGCCAGGAGTGGACTCTCAGCCGCTCAGTGCCGGAACTTAAAGTGGTAAGCAAAGGGGGGGGTTAGGGGGGGCTTCCGCCCCTTCACACATTTGGGGGGGGAGGTGAACCTCCTGCAAAGATGGACCTCGCATGCCCCCAGGGCCCCCCTGTTCCGTTGTTGGGAGCGGGGGGGGGGGAGGCTCTGGGATGGGGGGGGCACATCTCAGATCTGTCTCTCTTCCTTTTGGATCTGCCTTAGAAAGCCCCTCCCCTTTTAGAGAGGGCCCTGCTGCCCCTCCCCACTCTTTGCAAATGCTTCTCTCTGGAAGACCCCTCCTCAAGTTTGGCAAGGCCCCCCAGGAATGGGTCCTCCTGAACGTTTAGGGAGGGGGGCTTTAGCTCTGCCACGGGGGGGTGGCAGAATTTACACCCCCTTACAGGAGACCTCGCCACTCGGGACGGTGGATGGCAGGGAAGCGGGGGGGGGGTGGGCACAGGGCAGAGAGCCCCAGATGTGGGGTCCACTACACAGGCTCCTCCCCCCCCCCACACACACTATCCACTGGCGGACCCTGGTGAGAGGAAGTGCCCTGCCTGGGGGCGCAGAGGGTGGGCCGGATCATTGGGTCAGGGTGGGGCTATGCCACTTGCTGGGTTGGGGGGAGAAATGCCCCTGTGGCATCTTGCACTCGTAACCCACCGATTGGGTGGGCTTCTCCAGCGCTCGCTTGGCACGGCTGGTGAGCCTCGGGGTGCCCCGTGGGCGGAGGAGAGGGTTGAGGGCAGAAGCCACCGAAGCTTTCGGTTCACTGAAATTTGGGCATTTGGGGGCTTCCCCTAACCCTGGCCATTGATGGGGAGGAGGAGGGCATCTCCGGCCGGGGGGGCGGTTTGTCCTCAGACTCCCCTTTTTCTCGCAGGGGATTGTGGGTAACCTGTCCAGCGGGAAGTCGGCCCTGGTGCATCGCTACCTCACGGGGACCTACGTGCAGGAGGAGTCCCCGGAAGGTGAGTGGGCGCCCCCTGGGGTGGGATGGGAAGGGCGGGGGTCCCGCAGGAGAAAAGGGGGCACTGAAGAACTCTCCAGCGCGCACACACACTCCGAGCCAATAAAAGGGCTGAGGGAAGTAATGGAGCGGGACCCCTCCCCGCCCGTGTCCCCTATCTCCCCACAGGGAGGGGGGGTGTTCTGGCCCACCTCTCTTTGGCTCCTCTCCTGGACCTGCTCCAGCCTTTCTGGGGGTGGGGGTGGGGGCTCTTGGGTGCCAGGAAGCTCCTTGAAAGTCCTTATTTTCCAAACTGGGGAGGGGGGGGGTTACTTGGACGGAATCTTCCCTGCTTTTGGCTATTATGCAGGGCATGGGTTGACCCAGTCAGGTTGCATCGGGTTTTGGGAGTCCAGAGAAGGGGGGGGCTTCCTAGCCAGCCCAGGCCCCCCCAAAGTGCCGCAGTCCTCCCTGTAGAGAGTGTTGCGTTTGTCAAGCAGTCCTGTGCCAGGCTGGGGGGTTTGGGGAGGGGCAGGGGGCTATGCCACACCAGAGAGCTCCTGGGTCCTCAGGGGATTTCCCTTTCTTGGGGAGTCTCGGTCCCCCCATCTGCATGGAGCCTGACTCCCCCAACAGGACGAGGGGGCAGGGGGTGTGCAACCCCCTGCCCTGATCCGAAGCCTTGCCTGGGAGGGTCTCGGACTGAGCCGGCACCTCTCTCCCCCCCCATCCCCAGGCGGTCGATTCAAGAAGGAGATCGTGGTGGACGGGCAGAGTTACCTCTTGCTGATTCGCGATGAAGGGGGACCCCCCGAGCTGCAAGTACGGTGCCTCTCCCCCACCCCCCCTCTCCCCGTTCTGTGGGCGTGGCTTGGTGGGCGTGGCAGGGGAAGGATGCTGCAAAATCCCCCTTCTCACCCGACTCTGGGACCAGTCGGAGGTGGCATTTGTCGGGTCTCCAAACTACTCAAAATTTCCGGTTCTCCAGAACCTGTCAGAACCTGCTGGGTTTCACCCCTGGGCTGGCCAGCAACCGGCAGCTCCCGCGCGCTCTCCTCTCAGCCGCGTGGAGCTTGCCAGTCAAAGGCTGGCGTGGCCCTGAAAACCCCCCCCCCCCAATCCCCGGTCCTCCTCTTTCCTAGTTTGCCGCCTGGGTGGACGCGGTGGTCTTCGTCTTCAGCCTGGAGGACGAGATCAGCTTCCAAACGGTCTACAACTACTACCTGCGCCTCTGCAGCTACCGGAACACTTCGGAGGTGCCGATGGTGCTGGTGGGCACACAAGGTAGGCCGATCGGCAGGGCAGGATGGCAGCCGAGTGCCTCTATCGGAAGGGACGGTGGCCGGCCGGCCGTCTCCTGGCCCGGGGCCACAATCGCCCCCAGCGTGGTGTAGCTGGGCATGGCCACTCCCCCCCCCCCCTTTGAGAAGGCTCGCTGGTTCTTTGGCCTCCTCGATCCTCGGTTTCTTTTGCCAGCAGGACCCAGAGTGGGTGGGTGGGGGGGGGGATTTCCTTCACCCTTAGAATTCCAGGTGGGGGTGGGGGGGTTGGCCGGCTTTGGCTGGAGTCCTGGAGCCCTTGCGGTGGGGGCCGTTTTCCAGCCCTTTCTGGGCCCCCTCCTCTGGGCAGGACAGGAGACTCTGCCACTCTGGGGGGTGGGGGAGACGGGGGGGCCTTAAACCCTTAGTTCAGAGCAACCACAGCCACCCCTGCCCCACTTGTCCCCCCTCCCAGATGCCATCAGCGCCACCAACCCCCGGGTGATCGACGACTCCCGGGCCAGGAAGCTCTCCAACGACCTGAAGCGTTGCACCTACTACGAGACGTGCGCCACCTACGGGCTGAACGTGGAACGCGTCTTCCAGGACGGTAGGGCAGAGGGGAACCTGGGAGGGGAGGGGGGCTCCTGCCCAGGGCTGCCCTTCCCGCGACCGCTTCCAACCTCCTCTCCCCCCCCCTTTCCAGTGGCACAGAAGGTGGTGGCCTTGAGGAAGAAGCAGCAGCTGTCCATCGGGCCCTGCAAGTCGCTGCCCAATTCGCCCAGCCACTCCTCCGTCTCGGCCGCCTCCGTGCCAGCCGTCCACATCAACCAGGTGGGGCTGAGCAGATGGGGGGGGGCAACCTGTGGAGGAGGAGGGCAGGAGGAGCTGCTTCCCAGCCTGGCGCCTGCGGGATGGCGGTGGGCACAGGGCAGCTTCCGGGACCCCCTGTGTGTGCGCTGCCTTGTTTGAGGCGGAAAGGGGCCCTGGCGGCCATCCGGGCAGGATCCTTTCTGCCCCAAGCAAATGCCCCCCTGGGGGGGAGGGGGGCTTGGGACCCCCCCGTCGCTCTCCTTAGGCACCCTGTTTTCCCTCGGCCACTCTGTGGGTCTGGGCCACCCTCCTCGGCCAGGCGTGGAGTGTAAGGGGGGCCACCCGTGGCTCCTGCTGTGGCACCAAACCGTCTGGGTTGGGGAACTCTGTCCTGGCAGGCTCCGGTGCCCGAGGCAGCTGTCCCAGCCCCCCCCCCCCCGAGGGTGGGGAGGGGGTTCCCTGGATTCCTGCTCCCGGAGTATTTGAGGTGGGGCCAGGGGAGAGCAGCGGGGGCCCTGGGGGGGCTATGAGGGTTTTGGTCTGCATCCCCACTTCCACCACCCTGAATGGGGGAGGGGGGGCACACCAGCTGGCCAGGCCAGGGGACAGAGGTGGAGGAAGGGGGGGTTAGCCAGGGGGGGGGGCAGATGTTTCGCTTAGGCAAAAGGAAGGGCCGGGGATCCTGCAGCTCACGGCTTGCCCATCTGTGCCCAGGCTGCCAACGGGGGTGGGGCCTTCAGCGACTACTCGTCCTCTGTGCCCTCCACGCCCAGCATCAGCCAGCGGGAGCTGCGGATCGAGACCATCGCGGCCTCCAACACCCCCACCCCCATCCGCAAGCAGTCCAAGCGTCGCTCCAACATCTTCACAGTGAGTCCGGGGGCGGTGGGGGGGGGGGCGGTGGGGGGGGCGGTATGGCACGGGAGGGAGGGGGGGCGGCAAGGGGGCAGTGGCTGGCTTCGGCTGCCCTCCTCCTTTTGCGAAGGGCTTGGCCATGGGGTTCGAAGGGCCAGCGGGGGTGAACTGCCGAGGGGGGGCAAGGGGGGGTCAGAAGGACTCTGGGACGCGGGCAACCTGGTCGTTCCCCCCCCCCCCCCATGAGCAGGAATGGGATCCGTCTTCGCCCCAGGCAAGAAAGCGATGGGAGGGGAGGGGCCCTTGCAGAGGGGGGGGTCTGACCTTGGAGCAGGGGGGGGGTGCCTCCCTCTGGGATTTTCCAGTCCTCCCTCCCCCCTCCCCTCCCCTCCCCAGTCAGGCCCGGCTTGGAGTCCTGGACCAACCAAAGGGTTTTTTGGTGGTGGGGAGTGAAGCTTCTGGGAGGGGGTGTATGAAATGTAGATCCAGTAGGAAGCCCCCCCATCCCACAACCCTTCGAAGAAGAGCCACCCTCTGGGCGCGAGGAGGAGGACTGTCCTGCCAGATTCCAAAGGTTGCATCACGCTTGGAACTTGGCTGGCTGGCTCTGCGTACGGGGAAGGACCCCCCCCCAAAGACCCCCCCCCATATGGTTGAAGTGCAGTGGGAGGGGCTCTGGCGGGGCCTTGCCCTCCCCTGCGGTCGGATGGGAGGTGCTTTGGCGCTGGGAGGGGGCGGCCTTCGTTTGACTCTCGTTGGCCAGCCCTGGAGGCCGCGGCTGCGTGAAAATCCCCCCCCCTCCAATACCTGGCTGCTTCTGGGTCTCTGCTCTGTTTTGGCTCTGCCCTCATGGCTGCCCCCTTTGCACGGGTGTCCCTCCGCACACAGCTCCCTCCCGTCCTCCGCCCCACCTGTGCCCAGTGCCTTCTGCTGCTGCTGCCGCGCTCGCTCTGCTTGGTGGGGAGAGTGGGCGGGGTCTGCTCTGCGTGGCCCCCCTGGAATGGCTTGTGTGCCAGCACCCTCCTTGCCTGATGCTTCTCCGGGACGTTTGCTGGCTGCATCCGGACGCCCAGGTGTGACCAGCTGTCCTGTGGCTTCTGGGCTGGTCCCAGTGCTGCTGTTGTGCGCCAGAGGGCGGTGTTGGGGCTCCCCCTGCTTCTAGAGGCTGAGCTGCTTCCTCTCCCCCGCCCCCCCCTCCAGCTTCTGCCTCTCCTGGCTCCTCCTTTCCCCCCTCCCCCTGCACGGCTTTCTCCTCTCCGACAACAGTGCAGCGGGGGTTCTGGCCAGCAGGGGGAGCCAGGCGCTTGCTCTCGGCTGCTCCTCAGCTGGCTGTTTTCTGCTGCCGCTCCCCGGCTTTGCTCGCAATGGTGTGGTCGGTCGGTCGGCCGGTCGGTCGGCGTGCTCGGTCTTTGCCGTCGGGCCGCATCCGCGTCCGTCCATGTTCTAACCTGCCGACCTCTCTATTCTCTCGATGTTGCAGATCTGCGCCAATGTTTCCACCTTTTCCTCCACCAAACGGCCTTTCCAAGTCCTTCCACATTAGAAGACACCCCCTCGCCCCCCCCCCCCTGGCTTCCTCCCCACAGGCTGCTCAGTACCAATTCTCTCCCTTCTCATTGCTCTCCAGGGCCGGATCAGGGCCAGGCACTGGGAGTGATCTCAGATTAGTGGCCCGCCCTACCCACCTGCCTGCCCGCCCGCCTGCCTGCCGCTCGCTCGCTCGGGTCCCCCTCCTCCCGGAGACACGCAGGAGCCTTTCTCCCCTCCTCCTCCCCCCTTCCGTAAAGCCTCTGAGCGCTGCACTTTAACCCGGGACTGGTGGGCGTGTGGAGGAACGCCTGGCGGCGGCAGTAGCACCTCAGAAGACGGACGGGACCGCCGGAAAGTGCCAGGACATGGAGGGGCCAAGGGACGCTTTGCTGCCGTTCGCGCCCGCTGCTCCTCGCTCTCCGTCTCCCTCTTCCCTTCCTTCTTCCCTCCTGCATGGACTTGTCCTCTTCCTCCTCCTCCTCCTCCTCTTCTTCCTCTTCTGAGCCAAGCAACCGTCTGCGGCTCAGCCTTCTTCTGAGCTCATCGGTCGGGACAGGAGGGCCCCTCCGGAGCGGCAGGGCTAGTGGCCGGCTGCCTCGAGGGACGGACGGACGGACGGACGGACGGAGGGCTTGTGTGGACGATGGACGGCCAAGGGAGGAAGCCGCTCCTGCTGCCATTCGTGTGGTTCTGAATGTATCAATTGCGCCCTGTGCCGTGACTCTCGCAATCCTCTCTACTGTGTCGAGCACCTTCAACGGACTCTACATTCCCGGCTTTATTTATTGATCCATTTATTTATTCAGATGATGGTGATGAATTCGAGTCTCTCTCTTTCTCTCTCTCTTTCTCTCTCTCTTTCTCTCTCTCTTTCTCTCTCTCTTTCTTTCTCTCCGTCCTCCGCCTGTTCTCAGTGTAAAGTTAGCTGTTTCGTGTCGATGCTCTTTTGTAACATGACATCTGCGACAGACTTTGTAAGGTGCCAGTTGTGTTCACCCAATAAACGGTTGGACTGAGGAGGGCTGGTGCTGTTCTTTCTGGCTTCCGCCGCCTCTGCCCTCCCTGCGCCTTTCCCGCCCCTGACGCCGCTGCCGCTTTCCTGCTCCCATCCCATCCTGCTCTCGTCTGCCACCGCATCCTGTAGCCTTGTGTTGTGTGGAGGGCGTGTGTGCGTGAGTGTGTCCGCTGGGCTGCCAGGGTGCCTGGGTGGGTGGCGTGGGGAGAAGCGCCAGCTTCTCGGCCCCCCTCCCAGCCCTGCCTTCTCCCAGGGGGGGATAACGCTCACCTCTCTCTCCTTCTCTTCCAGTCTCGGAAAGGTCCCGATATCGAGCGGAAGCCCCCAGAGAGTAAGGCGGACACGATTGGCAGCGGGCGGGCCATTCCCATTAAGCAGGTTGGCATTTCTCTCCCCCCCTCCCACATCGCGCCCGGCAGCAGGCCCGGTGCTTGGCAGGTGGCCAGCGGGGTGGGGGTGGGGGAAAGCAGAAGCGGGGAAACGGGGGGGGGCTGGGGGGGAGAGGCGTCTCCGTGTTGGGCCCTGCTGTTTCTCCATGCAGTGTTTGCGTTGCCCGTCTGTGCCCGCGTGTGTTGTGCAGCGTGCCTCTTCTGTGCCCTTGGAAAAAGCCATGCCGGGGCGCCCCTGTGGGCGGGGGCATTGCTGGTCCTCCATCCTGCTTTGCTTTGCCTTCATGAATGTTGGGAGGGGGTAAACGGCAGCCCAGGGACCCCGTCTGCTCGGTCCAGCCGGCCCTGACCACTCGGGGATCCTTTGCTTTCCCCCAGGGACGACGGTGGCGGTTTCCACCCTGGGGAGGGTCCGGGCCTGTCTGGACAAAGGCTTACCCAGGCCCTCCCTGAAAAGAAGACGCAGGGGGCTTGCTTACATCCCCCCCCCACCCGGGCAGGCAGCAGGGGGTTCACTGAGGTTTCCTTCCTGGCTCCCGTGGCCCCTCGGGGTGGGACGAAGAAGACATTTTCTCCCTGGTAAATTGAGCTTGCAGCAAAGGGGGCCTCTGGCTCTGCAGGTTGAACCCCCCTGTCCAGTCTCTTCTAGGCACAGACCAGCCCCCCAGCACAAGACCTCCAGCTACAGGACAGGGAGAGTCCCTGTAGCCGGGGGTCTGTGGAGGTTGGCCACCTGAGGGCCAGCAAGTGGGGGGAAGCCCCTCGGGGGGAGGGGGGCTTCCGGCCCTGCCCTGCCGAGGTGGGGGGGCGTCTGCTCCAGCGCAGGCTGGGCCGGGGGTTCCTCCTTGGAGGGAGCCGGGATCGTGCTGGGAGCTTAGATTACATTTAAATTGCCATTTGCATT